ATTACCAGCTTGGGATTTTAGTTTCACCTTAAGTAGGTAGCTGGTTTTGATTGGAAGTTAATATTAATGAATCTTTGTCAAACTTTTAAAATTGTTAATTACTATTTATCAGATAACCTCACTTCGGTAGAACATTGTCAGCATTAAAAGCTTGAAGTGTATACATGAACATAAAAAATATATATATATGTTTGGATGTGCACATCACAAGCTTTGAACAAAGCTTCTCACCCCTACATGTATTAACATGTACTGCACCAGCCTATGAAGTAATCAACATTAAACTATAGCCCTCCACCAATAGGAAGGTGACACATCCTCTATGCAGAGTAGTCCTCATGAGCTCTAGGGTTTGAACAAAGGCTCATTCTTGAGAAGACAAAAGAAATACACTGGAAAAGAGGATGGAGGTGTGTAGAGGTGAGTATCTATCTAAAATACATCTTCAGATAAGGAAAATGTTAACTTGAGAGATGTATGTTCACCTCTCTGCACAACAATAGAGATGATAAGATGGTGGAGGGGCTGATGAAGATAAAAAAAAATGTTACAAAGCTGAGCTTCTTTCTGAAATCATAGAATCAGAAAGGGAAAATCCATGAAGCTTGTCACCATTTGGGGTGAGGGTAGCCTAGTGGGGGCATCATTCAGTAGGAGACCACATCCTTCTCATGCAGGGAATACACTTTGCCCAATAAAGGTGATAAAGAAAAAGATAGTCAACAGAACCTTCTGTGTGGTGCCAAATTGTTGCATAGATTAGTAAAATGTAGGATTGTTCAACCAGCCATTATCTCTCCGGCAGTCCGAGCTGAGCATTAGTTTGAAGTGTGGCTAAGGCAATAAGTCAGACCATACCATAACATAGATATATAGATTGAATTAAGTGGTTATGAGACCTACAAAAAAAAAAAGAAAATAACTCACCTTCAGAAAGCCTCTGTCAAGAGTGAAGAATGGCAAATGGATGAAAACAAAACCCAGGGTAGATGCTTAATGAAACTCGTACGTTAGATTAAAACAATTGGAAATAGTATCGTCAAGGAAACCTTATCACAGACAATTGGACAATGTTCCAAAAATTACAGATTTGATTAAAAGAAAAAAATCAAATCAAAGTTCTAGATGAAATATCTAAAATTTGGTATTTTTCTTTCTCCAAATCAAGAAACTTAAAGAAAGAAAGACCACATTATAAATAGTAATTAGAATGTAATATTATAAATGGAAAAATTCTGGTAATTCTTAGGAGAAAACACTTCTGAACCAAGCAGTGCCGAGGAAAAGAATAAACGCATGTTCCAGTTCTACAGCTCATGGAGGATGTGTCACCCTCCTATTGGTGGACGACTATAGTCTAATGCTGATTACATCACAGGCTGGTGCAGTACACATTAATACATGTAAGTGTGAGAGCTTTGTTCCAGGCTTATGGCAAGCGTAAAAATCTTTGCTGCAGTGTCGTGAGGTTATAGCTCTTTGTCGTGCAGAGAGGCGAGTATATATTTCCGAACCCAATTTTTTTTCTTTGTGCATTCAATAAATTTAGGTATTTTAAGACAGATGAAAATACTTACTAATGGAACAATCTCAAGTTTTTTCATATGGAGTATATGATTATTCTACTTATTAAAGGCATCTTTATACTTAATCACTCATTATTCTGAACGCTACATTGGATATAGGATGAGGGGTGGGGAGGCGATGTCAATGTATTATTTAAATGTCATTAGGATTACATTTTGTTGCTTTTAATCGGAAAACCATACCTCATATATTTAAAAAAAAAGGTCTCAAATAAAAAGAGATCCTATATCTAAGAACAATCCATAAACAGTGGCTGAGATAAAAAAAAAATCAATGATGTAAACAAGTAACATATATATAAATACTTTTTGTCAATACTAATCCCTCTACAGAATGTAGATCAATTTTTAGAAATTTTACTGATTAAATTTTACACAATTTTAGTTAACAGATAAGATCCTTTTGTAGAGAATATTATGTAGCCATGAAAACCCAAACAGATTATTTAAACATGAAAATGAAACCGACCGAATAAATATGAAACCTGAAAAAACAGATTATATAAACATGAAATCTAAAAAGAGTAAATAAAGATGTAACCTATACATATTAACTAAACAAGGAATTTAAATAGATTAAGTAAACATGAAATCTAAATGTAAGGCTTAAAAATGATTACCAGAACACTAATAATTTTTGTTAACACAGCAAATCAGTTACCTTTTTAAATATAAAAAAAAAGCATGGCATAAATATTCTATAAAAATTAAAACAAACAAAACTCGGGTTTCAACTATTAAAGCAAGAAGTATTCTATACATAGACACTTACGGACAATATGTATATTACCAGGATCAATATCACTACCCCATGATGTCTGACTGCTTAGGCTGGTTGGACTGTGGCCATAAAACCTACTGACATCTCCTCCTCCTCCACACTTGTCAATCTCTTCTTCGTTAGACGAAATTCTTCGAATCCGTTTATTTCTTGGCTCAAATGACGGACTAGCTGGGTGGGTAGTTACCTCAGGATTGACAATGCTCTCTGGCGTTGGTACCCCGACTCCAAGGCCTCTGTAGTCTGCAGAGGATGAATAGTTGTTGGAATAATAAGAAGGTGATTCCAGCTTGACAATGTTGTGGTGAAATTGTATACCATTTGTGGGGTGTATTATCGAATCTATACGAACGAACAAATAAAAAAACAACAAAACCAAAGCTTAGGGATTTGTTTAATATTTGTGTATGTTTCCTGTTGTAAATGTTTATCAAGTGTAGAATGGGTCAATTAATGTGTAGGTCCATTTACACGACGTTTCTCATACAGCAGCCGTTTATAGTTCAGTTAGTGTAAGTATCAAACATAAGATTTATGTAAATAAAGTGTACACGTTTTGTAGTTTTAAATAATGTGTAGTAGGTCTATAAACCAGGAAACATATCTACAGATCATGTTGTTCTACTTCATATTACAACTGTTCGTAGTTTAACTAATGTATAATAGGTCTACTAACCAGGAGATATATCTGAGGATCACATTGTCGTATCTTATTTACAACTGTTTGGGTTTAACTAATGTATAGTGTGTATATTTTTAATGTTGACGAGATAGGGGTTTGCATGTTAAAACTTACTCTATCAATGTATACCAAACTATACTGTAAAACAACAAGTTTTATAACATACAATTTTTTTGACAGTTACAATATGTTTTGTATTGTCAGATCTT